CAATACAAATATATGATCTCGTATTAGGATTCATAAACTTGCGAACACGTTTGCTGCAGAGAAATTACCATTCTTCGCTATAAATATAAATAATCATATTTGGATTCATATTGGGATTCAAATTACGAATACTAATCATGGATCATTATCATATTTGGATTTATTGAGACTCAAACACATTTGATGCAGCGAAATAAACATCCTTCATTTTAATGATATAAGTAACCACATCGGGATTCATATTAGGATTCAAACCAGAAGCTATGACATTCAACCAGAAGCTATGAATCCCAATATGAGATCATTCAAGATGTTTTCCAAAAGTTTTAGATATTTTACGAAGTGTTATGATGACCATTTACTGTTCAAATTTAGAGGTGTTCGCGTTTCAAGGTTTACTTAATGGGAGGAAAAATGGTATCGAAAAAGTGTTCAAACAATATGGTATTATACTTTTTAACTTAATCAACATAAATGATGTTCGTATGCATTTACATGTAACATATCCCAATGATGACCAATTGGCATTTTGGTTATACATAAACCATTCTTAATTATGTTTCGTTACATTATCTTTAAACATCAAAGGAATTATTAAGAAAAACAATACTATATTATTCCAAACAATTATTAATATGTTTGAATTTAACACTTAAAAAGCAATTTATTTAAATCATTAGCAAGTCTTGAATTAGGACACGTTTTACAAATGATTGGCAAATACTATATTGGGTTGGGTTTACTCGTAAACATTCAACCAGAACATCCAACTGTTGGATAGCGAAGTGAACAACAATAATAGCAGCATATATGAAGATCCTGCTTCCATTGAGGATGCTGTTCGGCCTTGTGGCACTTTCATATGCGCAGGTAATCTATTATTTATTCATTTTGTTTCATTTTTCTATTGGACATTCTATGTTTGCTTGCAAATGTACTCTTTGTGTCATTTGAATTTGCTTGATGGCAACGTTTTGCAGAAACCGAATCAAGCCAAGACGTTCGTATATGCTTTCAAAACTTCTTGAGTAAACATAAATTCTTAAACAACATTGATTATGTACGAAGTACAACTCATACATCGTTTGTTTTAGACCATAGACTACAGTAGGTACCAGTTGGTGACTTCTGCGAAAAAAGATTGGTGTGAGTGCATGGTGAAGTCCCCAGAAGTATCACGACCATGTGTACTCCTCAAGCAAAATATGACAAACTTGAGGAACTAAAGGCAACAGCTTCCGAATTCATCGGTAAAACATTACACACTTTTCAGATTGACAAATTATAATACTGAATTAATAATGGTACTTGTTACTTCCGTCATTCAGGAAATGAAACTTCATAAAATACCATGTTTATTCTTCATCATAATGTACTGTAGCATAACAATATAAAGTTTTCCATATATTATGCCAGCAGGGAGCTACCCAGATTAAGGTCTTAGATTCTTAGAGGTCTTGGATCTTTGAGCAATCACTATGTAATCAAAATAATCAATCCATGTAGCGTGACAGCAATTAATTTTTTTGTTCGGGGTTCGATAACGGGCCTCGGACGAGCTCGTACGGGCCTCGAAATTACGAGCCTCGCACATGCTCGTACGGGCCTCGAAAACAACAATTACGAGCATCGTACGACTTCGTAGGAGCCCTACGAGGATGGTGCTCCTTTTAGCCCTACTCGTAATTCCCGTGGCTCGTACGAGCTCCTACGGGGCCCGATGTAATTTGCCTGTGTATGTAGGGACATTTGGGAATTCCCTTTTTGATTATTTCGTCGCTCACGGCACCCCTGGTGTCAATTACTATGTCCACAAGGAAAAAAGGTTTTTCAATTGGATGGTGTCATTTTGTTAGAAAATGATTTATCTTTAAAATTATATATAATACATGACATGGTTTAACATAATCATATGAATCATTCATCTTTAAACTTGCGTATTGGTTTTTGGCCCACCCTGTATATTGTATTTTACTGTTACTCATGCAAATAATGGAGAAGGAGGATTTTGACAGATAATGTTTCTTTATAGGTTAGATCATTGTTTGGAATCTTGGGGTCATTTGCCTGATAATCGATTTTATTGACCAAAATGCAAAGAAAGTCTAGAGCGGGTTGATGGCATAAGATATTAGATTTATTAGATAAAATCTTTCATACGTTTCAAACATTCCTGTAGATATTAGACAAGCCTCGACAGACAGGATTTTAGGACGGAAATCCAAAATGGCCGCCTTAACCCAGAAATGCCCAAAAACCAATTAGTTTTAAATTTTCATAAACATCCCTGATGATTTCAGATGAATCCCTAAAATGTAGACAAGATTAATCGGGACGCCTGCCCACCCAACAACCCGCTCGCCTGTCCACCCGCCCGCGAAAATCATCACAATATAGCACCCAATGGTGCGATAAAAAAGAAAAAAGCTTAGATACATTTGTATACTGTTATATGACATTGAATGAATTATAATTGAATCCCAAATCCTTATGCGTCGTTTCCTTTTTTGTTATTTTTGTATCAGTTGTAGTTATGCCATCTATAAATCTGTTCATTTTGTAATATTGCAATACATATGTAAACAATACAAGACTATATACTGTATATAATGAACGAGCACACTTCATATTTAATAAAGTGTCTCAGATGACATTCCATCAAACTTAATATTAAACGCTTTCGCAAGAATACAAATGCACATAGACAACCCTGCCATGGAAAATAATTATCAAATGGTGGATTGTCAAGCAGATCTTCAATAGCTTGGGAGAGTTCTTGTTAAAGACTCCTCTAAATCCATACTTGTTTTAGGATGTATTTTCAACGTGAAATAAAAAATATCAACATTTACTGGAACTAACTTTGATTTTAGTGACTTCACATATCATCGTCACGGCCTATTGACAGGTTGCCTATTTGCCATTTAAGTCTATAATTTCAAGTTTATATGATTCATGACATACGAGGGTCGTATGAAAAGTTATGAGCCTAACTATGAAGGAATAATGCAAGATCAAGAAAACTTGGCATGCATTTATTTCAGTCCTGTGGATGACTCACTACTTAGTTTATATTCATTGCTGTTTGTTTTGCTGCTGAGACAGGACTTTGAAAGTTGACAGTGGTGACAGACAAAGTCGAATATCGTGCCATAATCAAGTATCTGATTTTGAAAGGGTTAACTCCATCACAGATCCATACTGATATGATTGGAACATTAGGTGATAATGCTCCATCTTTTGCCACAGTGAAACGGTGGGCAGCTGAATTCAAAAGGGATGGAGAGAGCATTGAAGATGACCCGAGGCCTGGACAGGCATAAATAGCCACAGAAATCACTGACCGTTTGCACCAAATGGTGATAAGTGGCAGATAATTGACTGTTTGTTACATAGCTGAGACTGTTGGCATCTCAAAGGAGAGAGTTCACCATATTATGACCAGTGCACTTGGAATGACAAAGGTTTCGGCCAGGTAGGTCCCACGCCTTTTGACTCCTGATAAGAAACACACTTGGCTGGAAATGTCAAGAGAATTTAGAGATTTTTGAAGCAGATCCAGATGATTTCATGGAGTGATTTCTGACTATTGATGAATGTTTGGTCTACCAAGCAATTTGAGCCTGAGACAAAAACGAATCAATGCATTTTAAACACACTTCCTCTCCACCTCCTAAAATGCCAGGGTGGTGTCCTCTTCTGAGAAGGTTATGGCCTCAGTTTTCTGGCATGCAAATGGTGCTGTGTTGGTGGATTATTCATTAAAGGGCCAAACCATCAACGGAGAATGTTAAAAACAACAACAACAAGAATTAGCAAAATGTGTCTTGTTTCATTAGAACAATGCTTCACCCAACAAGTCAGAGGTTGCCATGGCAACAGAGCTTGACTGTGGCTTTGAACTTTTTTCCAACCCACCATACTCTCCTGATCTATCTCCGCCATACTTTCATCTATTTTATCTATTGTGTAACATGTTTTGTCATTATTGCTAAGGAATACAATATAATACCATTCAAATAACGATAACTCACTTATTGTATTACTTATGCTTGATAAACATGCTGAAAGTAATGCTTTTTGAAAAGTAAATCATTGCCAAAACTATGGTTACCCTGTAGTATTGAAAGACACGTCAAACATTAAAAACACCCCATCTTCAAACAATTTATTTATCTTACCATTATTCATTATATCTGTCAATTTCAAGAAAATCGCGGCACTACGTTTAAAAATAATTCAAATTATGTCATTTTTTTTATTGAATTCCATTATAAAATTGGAATTTTCAAACTTAATATTTTAAAATTTTACATGGTAAAAAGTTACATATTGAGTAGTTAGTTGATGTTAGGGTGTAAAAAAATCGAAACAAAAAGAAAAAAGAAAGGAATAAAGAAAAATTGTCACGGAGAAGTCTATTTAACATGTCTTTAAATGCAGGAGATTTATCATTGGTCTCCACATGGTTATGAAGACTTTACAACAAAATGGATTCTGTTAATTTGAAGGTAAATAAAATTTCAGAGTACACTTGAAGAAATAAAGAATTGTAAATTAAAACTCCACGCCATGTGATCGGACAAAATGGACAGATGGCGCAGTGCATGGTAAAACATGTCAGGTCTTTTAGGATTTATTTTGAACCGATACGGTTCTATGATATGAGATCTATTAAGAAAGGTGCGTCGTCACTAACATGAAAAGTCAATCTTTTTTGCTATAAATCAGGCAACAATGGTCTACACGTCCTGAAATAAATATTTGCAAGTGACATTATCATCACGAAATTAATGTCATTGCTGATTCCATACGTTTTAAAAAAATAATTGAAAATAATTAAAATTGAATGGAGGGGGAGAAATCTGTCTATAAGACATGACATGAGATGTTACTCGACGTTCTCGTATTATCTCCAAATTTTTTCACACTTTAGAGATGTAACATCCAGTTTCCTACTGAGTTAATTTCTCAAGTTCACTAATTTGTGTAATTTATTTTCAAAGACATATTACTCCTTACTCCATTCATCCCCCTCCATCAAATTTTAATATTTTTGCACCATCAACTGATAACAAGTTTCTTTGTTTATAATACCGAAACTTGAAAAACACCCTTGCTTATCTAACATCATGATACATGCAAAATACAAGGATTGCACCTCATATTTCTAAATTCATATACGATGTGAACAATTTATTTCAAGAGCTATTTTTACAGGAAATAAGGTTTGTAACAAAGTTTTACGTTATTCTGAATTTATTTCAGTAAATTTTGCTGTTTTTAGGATTAAAATGGCCATTGGGCCAGTTTAATAGAAAATAACATCAGCATATTTTTTAAGTTTCCAGTGTGTGAGCCATCATTTTCACAATTGCAATTTCAGTCCAATGTCATCCATCTTAAGGCGCAGGAGTGGTAGTTGCACTAGGGACTGCCTTGGGTTCAAACATCAGTGTGAATGTCATCAGATGTGAAGAATCCATCGCAAATAGCATCCTGTTATTCGGTTCATAACTTAGTTGAACCATATTTTTATACACGGCAGGGATTGCGATTTTAGTCATAAAACTCGCACCTCTTCCACCATCAGCTGAAAAAAACATATTCTTCAATTAAACTATAATTTCAATATAGAGTCAGACATTTTTTCTGAAAAGGTACACGTGCAGTATGCCAAGTGATTTTAGACGGTAATATCTTTCACCATGGGTTCTTTCTGGCCATAAATATAGTGGTTTTTATAAAAACAATATGTTTTCTTTCAAGTGAAGTTCCCGTTTTAGTAAAATATCAATCCAACTCTCTGAAAAATTATGGTTTAGGATCCCACTTTTTAAAAAATGTTAGACTTATTTTCTACAAAGAGGATCTTGTTTTTCTCGATTATACTTTATCGAAAGTTTCTTCTACACTATATTAACAACTTCTGAAAAAGGGATTGGTATTGAAATGCAATAAAGTTAAAAACACATATCTCATGTTATTTTCCCATAGGGGAAATTCGTGCTATCCATTGTTTTCAGCATAATTCGGGTCATCGAAAATTGATATCTTCAAAACTAGGCTTTCAATATCATTCTACTTTTGAAGAAGTTTTGGACCCCTTTTTGAATAATCTTTTCATGCAATAAATATCAGAAAGGGAGATCCTATTTTAAGTAAATAGGTTCAACATTATTAAAAACTGTTGATTAATAATTAATAATAATTAATTAATATAATAATATTAATAATTTTTCGAAATGTTCGATATTTTTATCATCATGGGTACTTTACTTGAAACAAAACATATTGTTTTAATAAAAAACACTATATTTATGCCCAGAAAGTACTCATGGTGAAAGATATGACTGTCTAAAATCACTTGCCATACTGCACATGGACCTTTGAAACAAAAAGCTTGAAAAGGAGATGCACTTAATGAAAAAAGTTTCTCATATAGTGAGAGTGATTGTAGTTTCAAATCGAAGTATCATAGGCCAAGGAGGGTTGGCTCCCATGGTTCCAACTTGATTTTCTGCCATATATGGCGATGTCGTGATTTCAAAATTCGAAGAAGTAATGAGATATTGGTTCGAATCTTTTGGACTATTGATTATGAATTTATAGTCAGTGATAATGCCAGAAAACATTCTGAAAATATCAAGTTGCGTCCCTGGGAGCCTTGCCCATAGGCCATACCATATAGCCGATTACGTCTAGTACGGATTAATGTTTCGAAAGTATGGGGTATGGAATGTTTAATGGATTCTCTATAGCGGATCCGTAGTGACTAATACTATTCTTTAAAGTTCATTTTCCTGTCAACTAGTTATATTTTTGACTAGCCTGGATGGGATCCGCTCGCAACCGGAATGGTGCAGTAACATAAATAAAAAAGTAGAATAACAGGAAAACCTTTTCTATTTAATCAACGCAAAAAGTTTTTTTCAGATAAACAAGTTTTGCTCTTCTAAAATACAGAAACAAGAATTTTTTCCAGAGAATTATGTTGATTCACGTAAGAAGGTTCTACCTCTTGTATCGAATGCATACTGGCTTCTACTTGGTACTGGGGTGTTCGAAGAATCCATGGTGTACATAACGCCGCATACAAAGTACAAATTACTGATGCTACTTTTGGCAACGTGAGTGCTCCAATGACGTATTTCTGTCAGATCAATCGGGTTGAGTTGTTTAATTTGGATGTAGGATGCTCCTGAAATAACATGATAAAAAATTTCAGTTTTAGTTTCTCCGATTCCAGGAAAAGACCAATCCAGTAAATATACTAATGTCACTTGTTGGACATTCAATTCCATGACTTAAAGTCCAGCGTACCAATGATTGCTAAGGCAGTATTTCTACGACGTTGGAGAAAGTCGTAGGCACTATTTGTTATATTATTTACTCCTGGCTGTTGCTTATTGCAAAAATTCAAAAACGTCTTAACATATTACAGGATTTTAATAATACGAGTACTTGCTTTTTGGATCTGCAAATTTTCGTTCAGAGTGATGCCAGTGTCCTGTTGCAGTACGGGTACGCCATTTGTAGCGGTAGTAGTATCGCTCGTTATACGTGTAGGTGCATGGTGAGGTAAGAGGATGATTCCCAGAATAACGCAGTTTGAGGTTACATTGCTTGAGGTGGAGACTCCAGTCAAGGGACATACACCTAAATCCTCCCTCATTTACACATTTCTGTTTACATTCCTCCAGAGTTGATGCTGATGTAGCTGTTAAGGTTTCAGCATTTATGCATGTGTTTGGCATGTCTTTCCATGTCCAGTCTGAATGTTAACAATGACATAATGTAAGACTAACTTGGTTAAACATGATATAATAGGGATAAACAAATTATATTTAAGTAAGCGCAACGAGATAGTAAGTAAGATATTTAATAACATTAAGAAAATGGTAAGGAACCTTTAAACCCCAAAATGTCCAAGAGTAAGCAACATAAAATAACAAGTATGAGATAACCTACATTGTACAAAGGAAGACTTATTGTCAAATGATGACCTTATTCCGAACTTTTTTGCAATGTAGAATATTGGCCACTGTGTCTGCCAATTCTCAAATGTATCGTTCTTTAATTCTAATTCGATTATTTTTCTACTTTGAATCACAATCAGTCATTTGGGGTAAAGGGCCATTTCCCCGGTGTAAAACAAAGGGTATTTAATCAACGTCAACTAACATATATCCTAGTGGAGGAGGTTAAACTGTAACAATTATTGTAACATTTTATTTTACATGTTGTTTGGACAAGTTGCCCTACTGATCACCTCTGAAGTAATTAACTATGTAATAGTGTCACCTTTCTGGATATAGGCAATGAAGAGTCCATATTCATCTATGTTGATGTCCACATAAGTGTATCCACCACGGTTATAGTTTGGCACGGCCTCTACCTCGGGAATCGGCACCTGGAAGAAATTATTAGTTTTAAGATGGAAAAAGTAAAAGTTTGAAAACCGAGTACAGTATTAGATGTTTAAGATTGAAATAACAGATATTAAAGTAAAATTAAGTAAAATACAATTCAATATGCTGTACCGAAAGGCTCAGTCATAGAGCCCCTCTTATTAATAATATTCATACACAAATATCAAATAAACTAAGCCTTGTATTATATGATGAAAACAGGTCTGTACATGCAAATATTTGAAATCTAGTCCTTAAAATGTTTTCGTTTGGATGAATGTATTTGGCTGATTTAACACTAAATGTGGGACAATTTTGATTAAAAGGCAGAATCAGATCTATAGGGTTGACAAAATTACAAGCAACATGTAAAATTGACCTACCAATCTATTCATTACAATCTCAAATACAATATCTCCGAAAAGATTCACGATATGTTATAAATAGCTAGGTGGAGTTATTAAGGATTCAAGGTGCAAAAATGGGTGAAAAATGTTTAAATTCTCCCAAATAATAAGAATGGTAATTCTTATAAAAAATTGGTACAATATTGTGAAAATCTTTAGTTTTCCTGAAATAAAGTGTGCACTTTTGGGATTTTTAGAAAATAGACATAAAAAGGATTGACATAAGCCAGGAAGATTCTAAAATTGAAACAATTTTTTGTTTGGCTGCTCGCTAGATCTAATTCTCTCTTTAATAAATGCCATTTCAAATAACAAAATTACTGATCAAACGATAAATCCTTGTTTGTAAAAATACTCAATTTCTTATGTGTTGTTGAAATTGTCACTTCCCAGTAATGTTATCTCCAATTGAATAGACGCGCTTTATAGGACTAGAGTAGATATAGACTGATTTCGCATATTGCATACATGATTTAAATGTATACTACTCCCATGGTTAAACGTTTAAAAAATATGAGGTAATAAATAAAAAAAAGCAGTTTTGACCCACATTGGAGGTTTGTTTTCATGTAGACTACTTTGTGTTTTAATCCAATTTAAACAATAGAAACAAAATCCTAATTACCGATGCTTTTGGTGACCATGTTCTATAGTCGACTCTCTCAATGGTCTTTTGACTTGAATAGTAGTAGAGGGATCCATTGAACAATGCATGGTTTGTCCCATACATGTGTCTGAAACAGGAAAAACAAAAATTAAGCTGTACATATCCTCAGATCATTTTCATGTGTTCAAAAATTCTTATATTTATCAATTATGAATCAATGTTAATTCATATATGGCTGAACTTACTGGTATCATATTTACACAACCACTAAACTGAATTATGTGGATATCTCATGCAATTCACACTGCCATGTCCAAATTAAGTCAAAATCATACTTGGCTGTGTGACCAAGAGAAGTCTTTAAAGCATGGGTTCGTATTACATATAATTATGGCCATGTATGTGGTACTATGTATTGATATAATACCATTTGCAAATGCACTCTGTATATGAATATTGAAATTAATACTTGGCTGTCTGGCCGAGGCTAGTCTTTGAGGCACGGGTCCACATAGAATGATAGTTGTTCCACTTGTACATGTAGAGATTACCACTATTCTCTGCCACATAATAGATGGCAGTGCGATTCTCTGGAGAGTCGGGTATTGGGTCTTTCATCCACCATCCCACACTAGACTCAATGGAGTGTGTCATTGGCCAACCAATGCCTGTGAAGGTGTTACGTTCACAGAAGCCTGAAAATACAAAAGACAGTCATTTGTCAATTCTATCACGTACCTATCTAAAGCTTAAATGTATGATAAGACTCTTTATTTCCTTCACTTATAGAAAGCTGTGCTCTTCTTTACATCGTTTGAAAATAGAGCATTCTAGTTTATGTGATTAGTGCTATAATAATGTAAACAAGATTTTTGTTTCAATGTGGTATGGAACCACAGAGAAAATATGTTCAGCATGTTGTCGTATATGTATTGTTTTTCAATATATAAATCGTCCCATTGTTTCCACATTGTTACAATTGCATTTTCGCTGATATTATGAGAAATCAGAGGTTGAAGTTTAGATCTTCATAACTTTTGAGTGGTAAAACCATTATTCTGCCTATCTAATTATAAAGAATATGACTCGTGTTCCATTTTGACTGATAAGGTACTGGATGAGCTTTGTCCGTTTTTGCTTACAGGATTGCATTTTTCTAATTATGTTAATTATTTGAACTATATCGTTTCCCATTGATTCTGAAAATAATAGAGTCTAGTTTTTCAGCATCTGCGAATCATTGCCATTTATACATCCTTGCTACTTTAATGAGGGGGTACTATGATCATCATCAATAATTTCTGTACCTTCAGTCACATTAATATTTTAGGGATTATGTATCTTTATATTATTAGTTGCTATGACAAGTTTGACCATGATTAGTCAAGTGATTGCCATAACAACACAACTGTAAATATTTTGGATAATCCACCAGATCTTTAAAAGGTACATGACAAAGGTAAAAAGGCTATAACCGGTTAAGTTCACTGAATGAACTTGTTTTTGTTACAAATAATGTCACATCTGGTTTCTTTTGTTTGTACTACATGTATGGTGTCATGATTTATGATCTCCTTTGTTAATTACCTGCAAAGTATACTATTCTAGTAAGATATCATCCCATTATTTCCACATTGTTATAACTATTAGTCACATGATCAAAATTATGTATCTGATTGGCTCTGCTGCCTACCCAAACGGATATGACAAGGTTGGCCTAAATTCTTTTCCTCATTCTGCACTTATAACAATGTGTGGCACTGGATATCTTCAAAAGGAGATGAGATCCATTGAAATGGACCTCAGGAGTGAATGTTTCGCGAGAAATTGAAAAAGATAGTTACCTTATCTCAAAACCGGAGACCTAAAAGTGAGTTATAACAATGTGGAAATAATGGGACGAAATGTTGAGACAGCTTTGAATATTGATGGCTACTTATATTAACAACATCAAGGCAATGATAATTATACAAACTTTGATCCAAATCTCTAATAGGTCTTGAATCTCCTAGGAAATATGATGCCCCTATTTCATCAATGCTCTCACCACCTATGGCACAGCCAGCTGCCTTGGTCTCCAGGTCTGCAATCTAAGAGAAACAAAGAGTAAATCAATACTATGAGACTATTGTATGGAACTGTCAACTCCCCGGGTCTCCAAGTCTAACTCTGAAAACTATAAAAACAGAGTTCACTATTATTACATGTCTCTGATAGATAAGTATGAATTGGTCTCCAGGCTCGAATTCTAAGAGAAACAAAGAGTCGATTGCTCAATGGCTTACTTGGTTCACTAAACCTTTGTGAATATAAACACTATTTTGTTCCATGCGTTCATCCACCTCTTCTGAAGCGATCCACATATCTGCCGTCATCTGGTTCACTAGGGCCTCCGCTGTCTTGTTAACATCAAGATTTTCCACAACAAATGCGATTTGTTGAAGTTTTTCTTTGATTTCCTCTAAAGACTACAAGAAAAAAATAAATCTAATATTTTGGCGTTTTGATATTTTTACTGGAACACTATTTTGAGGTACCAAGTTGCAATTAGATTTTTTTATTCGTTTGGATATACATAGCACTTGTTCAAGTAAGCTTACCAACTTTCATTGTATGCTGTCCATATTCAAACTTGCTTATACTTGTTATCAATACAATATTATATACATTCTTGCCTATTTTCAAAATGGCTGCCATTTTTGTCGTTCATAATTTTTCAGCAGTTACTAGCTGTATGAATAATTACAGGTGTCCTGCATTGTAAAACCCCATGTCACTGTTAACATTAGTCTTATGAGTTGATTTTGTAAAACAAGATTGTCAAAAATGCATATATCTGCTCCTTTTTGGATTTTCTATCATAAAATCTTGTCTGTAAAGTCTCTACTACACGTTTTGAGCCAACTGGTTTCATGGATCAATCTAAAACATCCAGGGATGTTTTTTTGGTGTAAAAGTCTACAAGTGGGTTGTCTGGATATTCTCGATTTATATCTACTATCGCCAAAGAAAATTCGGTTTTCAGTCAAGGTGTCAAAAGATGCAACTTCCTTCAAAAAGATTTAAATAAAAAACATTTTAAAGCTCTTTTCTTCTCATGGTTTTGGTTTTATTTTTATTGGCTGATGGCACCCATCGTACCCCTCCCCCCGGCTACGCCTATGTCATCAGAAGTATGCTTTAACGATTGTAAATTTTCATTTCTGTTGATAGGATGAAAAGCAATGAACTTAATGGACAGTCCTGCCTCAAACCTTGATCCAAATTCAGAAATATTTGAGTATAACTGAGTATCTATCCATCTTTGAAATTCCGGACCAAAATTGATTTTCTTTATGACTATGTATACTTTTTCAACATTTTTTTATAACAGTTTGTAATATTTTTGTCTGACAATTGCCCCTATGTTATGATCACAGCTATTAGATATAATATTGCATGGTTAGGTCATGAGAAACATACTTTTTCTTCCTAAGCAAGTCTGGTTTTTTAATTGAGTTTTACATTGTTTATCTGCTTGGTCTCGTGTAAACTGGACTGCATTAATTATATGAAGTATAAGTATATGAAAAGTAATGCATGTACCTCGTAATTAATATTCATAGATTGGCTGAGGTAATTCAGTTCTAAATGTTCAATAAGTGTCTCAAGGCTAACTAACTCATCGCCAGCTGTATTCGATGTGAGTCCCTCTGCCTTAGCCACAATTGATAAAATTGTAGCTTCAAGATCGAGCAAACCTGTGGAAATAAAAAAAAACACATTTATAAACTGAGGACAGGTTACTAGTGTATAGAATATTTGAAGGATGAAATATGGATATTTATATTTATCCCATACTTGGACGTGTTACGGGTACATAAAGCCGGTTTGTAAAAACTTATATTTTCATCAGCGGGCAGATATAGCTTTACGTCCCGCTCCGAGCGGGCAGATATAGTATATCTGCCCGCTACGTCATAATCGCTGTTCCCGTATTGGTTTTTTTTTTGTAACGTTCGCATACTGTAAACGACAATGGAGAAAAACGCAGACAATCTCGACCTGTTTGATGCTTTAAAGAAGGGAAGGAGCAGTGTACCGGCGTTAATAATCAAAGATTTGAACAGGAGAAGAAACAGGAATACAAAACTGGACATGAATATTTTAAGAATATTCCACGGTTGGTTGCAAAGTTTCTGAACTTTGGCAAATTGAACAAAGTGATTGGTATGGGATAAACAGATCATCCTATAGTCGGTTCAGGATATTTGGATTATCCCTTGGCCAATATAATACATCTACCCTCGGGACCTACGGCCCTCGGGCAGATATATTATATTGGCCTCGGGATAATCCCAATATCCTGAACCTCATATAGGATAATCTCTATTTATCCCATACTTGGACGTGTTACAGGTACATAAAGCCGGTTTGTAAAAACTTATATTTTCACCAGCGGGCAGATATAGCTTTACGTCCCGCTCCGAGCGGGCAGATATAGTATATCTGCGGGCAGATATAGTATATCTGCCCGCTACGTCATAATCGCCGCTCGCATATTTGTTCATAATTTGTAAGGTTCGCGTAATGACTGTAAACGACAGTGGAGAAAACACAGACAATTGGGATCTGTTTGATGGTTTAAAAAGGGAAGGAGCATCCACTTACAAAAATTCGAGAAAATAAATGTGGGAATATTTGAGAGAACAGGAAATCCGCCCACGGCCAAGTAAACAAAACTGGACATGAATATTCTAAAATATTTCCACGACTGAACAATGTGAACCAGATGACCAAGATTGGTATGCGATAAACATATCATCCCATAGTCGGTTCAGGAACGGGATATTGGCTTATACTATACAGGATCAGATACGAGATTTTTTGAATTCTATTCTCTGTTTATTTCCCACGAAAACATGTTATTATGGAATAATATTTAAAGGTTTAAGGTCAGTAAATACGCTATTTACCTATGAAATCTCTCTCAATGTAGCATATCGATTCCTCTGTTATATCAGGTCCACGAATGCTGCATGTACAATGATCATCAGTTTCATTTGCGTGGACATTGTTTTTCTCTGGATCCGGTGTCTTTGTTGGTGGAGAAATTGTTGTTGGTGTTTTAGTGGTTGGGGGTGCTCCAGTGGATGGTATCTTGGTAGTTGGTGCCTTGGTGGTTCGGATAGATGGTGGAGCAGTTGGTGGCGAGGTGGTTGATATGGTAGTCGTAGGGGGCAGTGAAGGTGGAGTAGTCGGTGCCTTGGTGGTTGGGAGTGGTGGTGCCGTTTGTAGGGTGGTGGTAGGGGGCAGTGGCGCAGGAGTAGTTGGTGTCTTGGTTGAGGGTTGCATTGAACCACCAATGGGAGTACTGGGAGACTTGGTGGTAAGGGGTGGTGCCGTTTGTAGGGGGGTGGTAGGGGGCAGTGGCGCAGGAGTAGTTGGTGTCTTGGTTGAGGGTTGCATTGAACCACCAATGGGAGTACTTGGAGACTTGGTAGTTAGGGGTGGTGCCATTTGTAGGGTGGTGGTAGGGGGCAGTGGCGCAGGAGTAGTTGATGTTTTGGTTAAGGGTGGCAATGAACCACCAATGGGAGTACTGGGAGACTTGGTGGTTAGGGGTGGTGCCGTTTGTAGGGTAGTGGTAGGGGGCAGTGGCGCAGGAGTAGTTGCTGTCTTGGTTGAGGGTTGCATTGAACCACCAATGGGAGTACTGGGAGACTTGGTGGTTAGGGGTGGTGCCGTTTGTAGGGGGGTGGTAGGGGGCAGTGGCGCAGGAGTAGTTGGTGTCTTGGTTGAGGGTTGCATTGAACCACCAATGGGAGTACTTGGAGACTTGGTAGTTAGGGGTGGTGCCATTTGTAGGGTGGTGGTAGGGGGCAGTGGCGCAGGAGTAGTTGGTGTCTTGGTTAAGGGTGGCAATGAACCACCAATGGGAGTACTGGGAGACTTGGTGGTTAGGGGTGGTGCCGTTTGTAGGGTGGTGGTAGGGGGCAGTGGCCCAGGAGTAGTTGGTGTCTTGGTTAAGGGTGGCAATGAACCACCAATGGGAGTACTGGGAGACTTGGTGGTTAGGTGTGGTGCCGTTTGTAGGGTGGTGGTAGGGGGCAGTGGCGCAGGAGTAGTTGGTGTCTTGGTTGAGGGTTGCATTGAACCACCAATGGGAGTACTGGGAGACTTGGTAGTTAGGGGTGGTGCCGTGTGTGCGTTGGTGGTAGGGGGCTGTGCCGTTGTAGTAGTTGGTGTCTTGGTGGCGGAGGATGTCGTTTCACCCATTACTAGTACTGTGGTTGAGGGTACCGGTGGTGCCCCAGTTTGCGGGGTCGTGGAACTGGATGGAGCCGGTGTCTCTCTCTTTACTCTTGTAGGATCCTGAACAAATTATAAAACACTATTGATTTTCCTGAACCACGTCAGATTGAACGCGGTTACGTAACCCTAGAGTTCCTAATGGGGGTACAAAGTACCCTCCCCTAGTCTGATTTTTTCGATAACTTTTGAAGAAGTTTTGCTTGTTTATTCATGTAGCTGCTCCTAGGAATACATAGCAATAACTTCCCGAAAAAAATAATATATGGGGGCCTACTAATTACCTTTTGTAATTAATTATCAATGTCAAGAAGAAATGCAGAAAACGCGTTAATGAGAGACCCGATCATTGTATATCTTTTTCCATATTGCACTCATATATGCGGATACAGACAGTTTAGATTACTTGGATAATAATGACTTAATTAATTGATTTCATTTTAACATTAACATGTTTGATGTTATGGTCAAAATACATAAAAACACCCTTAATTGAAAGAAACGAGATTTATCCATATTTTGTGTAATTAAGTAATAAGGCAATGATTATCCCCCATTACAATGTAGATAAATTATCAAAATATACATACAACCGATGAAACAAATTGTCACCAGGCAATAGTTATTATTATGTAAATAAAGGATCTTGAGACGTATGGTCACCTTTTACTAGGGGATACTTTGTATCCCCCTCCCTTAGGAACTCCCGCTAGTGGAATTAATTAGCTTAACAACTTTAGGGTTAAAGGCCTTCGACAGGTTCATTCATTTATATTAATTCGACCTTTTACTATATATTGGCAACAGGTATACGGACAACTTATACCTTGGTCACATTTGCTCCGATTTTCACTACGGCGCCCGGCCGATTAAGTATTATGTTCAAAATTGAATACGATATTGAACAAAACACTCAATCGGGCGGGCGCCGGCCGATGGATCGGAGCAAATGTGACCAATGCATTACCAAGGTTATTGCGCATGTCATTGAGGTTATAGTTAAACTGATAAAACTCACCCCTGCTGCCATATAGGCTACAGATACAGCTGTCAACAGGAACACAAACTTCATTTTTCGTCCTTTTCGTACTGTTGATGTCTCGTGCGCAGTATTATAAATCCTATATCAAAATCCTCCTCTTTTATAGCATATTCTAGGTAATTAATCACAATTACATTTTTGTTTATATTAAAATTAGTAAAGTATGTTTCTCAATTCCCATTTTTGTGAAGTCAATGATCATTTATAAAGCTTACATTTTTTCAATTTGTAAAATATGTTTCCAAATTTTTGTTTTCGATGTTGATCCATACCAGCACACAAGCAGTCATTTTATTTTGTTTTGTTAATATTTTGAAAACATGTGACATATAATTAGCGTTTAAGTATTCTCATAAACTATTGAATAATTTTCTTAAAAATCAAGAAAATATGTCTAATTGTTTCTCAATTGTTACACCACAAAGCATAACATAAATGAATGACTCTAAATGACAAAGTTTCTTACAGTTGAAGTAACACTTCAAATTGTTTATGTTTAAAGAAATAGCCAAATGATGCAATTAACAGAACGTGGTTTCGAAGTGCCTTGAATTTGATTTGAAATACAAAGCAATAAACTATACAACCAGCAATTGGGTTAAGTTGGCTGCATATTGGTATTGGGCTATGGATTCAAACTCGATCACCAGCAAAATTTGAGCTTGCATCTCAATACCAATATAAATATGATCTCATATCATGCATATTGGGATTCGTTAACTCTCTTTGAGTCCCAATTCGAATCCCAATATGAATCCCAATATGGTAATTTATATCATATTCATGAAGCGAGGTATGTTGATTTTTCTGTATCAAGTGTGTTCGAATCTCAAAAACGGTCAAATATATGATTTCGTATAAGGATTCATAAACTTGCGAACACGTTTGCTGCAGAGAAATTATCATTCTTCGCTATAAATATAAATAATCATATTTGGATTCATATTGGGATTCAAATTACGAATACTAATCATGGATCATTATCATATTTGGATTTATTAAGACTCAAACACATTTGATGCAGCGAAATAAACATCCTTCATTACTGATATAAGTAACGATATCGGGATTCATATTAGGATTCAAACTGACATTCAACCAGAAGCTATGAATCCTAATATGAGATCATTCAAGATTTTTCCAAAGTATTTTACGAAGTGTTCTGATGACCATTTACTGTTCAAATTTAGAGGTGTTCGCGTTTCAAGGTTTATTTAATGGGAGGAAAAATGGTATCGAAAAAGTGTTCAAACAATATGGTATTTAGATACTTTATAACTAATCAACATAAATAATGTTCGTATGCATTTACATGTAACATATCCCAATGATGACCAATTAGCATTTCGGTTATACATAAACCATACTTAATTATGTTTCGTTACATTATCTTTAAACATCAAAGGAATTATTTAAGAAAAACAATACTATATTATTCCAAACAATTATTAATATGTTTGAATTTAACACTTAAAAAGCAATTTAATTAAATCATTAGCAAGTCTTGAATAAGGACACGTTTTACAAATGATTGGTTGAATTTAAACATTTCACCAGAACATCCAACTGTTGGATAGCGAAATGAACACCAACAATAGCAGCATTTATGAAGATCCTGCTTCCATTGAGGATGCTGTTCGGCCTTGTGGCACTTTCATATGCGCAGGTAATCTATTATCTATTCATTTTGTTTCGTTTTTCTATTGGACATTCATTGTTTGCATGCTTGCAAATGTACTCTTTGTGTCATTTTAATTTGTTTGATGGCATCGTTTTAGCAGGAACCGAGTCAAGCCAAGACATTCTTATATGCTTTCAGAACGTCTCGGGTCAACAGAAATTCTCAACAACATTGATTATGTACGAAATACAACTCATACATCGTTTGTTCACTGATGATCCACTCGATCACGTTGGTACCGTTTCCGTAACAAAATGTCGTTACGCCGTAGGTACAATTTTTCTTTTTCCTTATTTCACACTTTGTAGGCGGAAGCCCCACGACATTTTTCCCACAAACCTGTATCAGTATCATATGTTTACAAAATGTACATATTTGCGAACAATAGTTCAGAAGACAACAGAATCGTCGATTTAGTTCCTCACTAAAGTTACATAAACGGTATTTTGAAAAACAGTTAAGATCTGCACTTTTAACCCATACCGTTTCTGTAACTAAAGTGAGGAATTAAATAGACGATTCTGCTATCTCCCGAGCTATTTTTCACAAACATATACATTTTCTAAAACATATGATACTGATAGACGTTTGTGAGAAAAAATGTTGTGGGGATTCTGCCTACAACTTGTGAAATAAGGACCAGAAATAAGGTAACCACCGTAATCGAGCGGATCACCAGTGTTGCAATGTTTTAGACCATATATTACAGTAGTACATGGCAGTAGGTACCAGTTGGTGACTTCTGCGAAAGAATATTGGTGTGAATGCATAGTAAAGTCACCAGAAGTGTCACGACCAGCATATATGTGTACTCCTCAAGCAAAATATGACAAACTTGAGGAACTAAAGGCAACAGCTTCCAAATTCATCGGTAAAACATTACACACTTTTCAGTTTGACAAATTATAATACTGAATTAATAATGGTACTTGTTACTTCCGTCATTCAGGAAATGAAACTTCATAAAATACCATGTTTATTCTTCATCATAATGTACTGTAGCATAACAATATAATATTATGCAAGCAGGGAGCTACCCAGATTAAGGTCTTAGATTCTTAGAGGTCTTGGATCTTTGAGCACTATTTAATCAAACAAAAATAATCAAGTAACCTTTGGGTTTACTAGTATAGATTACAAGGCCCGTAATAGCTCGTAATTTTCGACCACCGTACTTGACCGTACGGTGCCCATAACGAGCCAAGTAATTATGGCTGGCAGTCTGAACCAATGTATCGTAATACTTTTAACTCCGTAAAATCTACTTTTCACGCCGTAATAAATACTTTTAACGCCGTAAAATATGGCTGGCCGTCTGGACCAATGTAACGTAATACTTTGAACGCCGTAAAATCTACTTTTCACGCCGTAATAAATACTTTTAACGCCGTAAAAACGATTGTATACGCCGTAAATAATTACTTTTAACGCCGTTAAAAACGATTTTGTACGCCGTCAAAACCGATTTTTAAGCCGTTGAAAATTATTTTTACGCCGTCAAGACTGATTTTTACGCCGTTAAAAATTATTTTTTACGCCGTCAAAACTGATTTTTACGCCGTTAAAAATTGTTTTTACGCCGTCAAAACTGATTTTTACGCCGTTAAAAATTATTTTTTACGCCGTAAAAACTGTTTTTACGCCGTTAAAAATGATTTTGGACGGCGTAAAAAATGATTTTGCTCAACCAATCAAAACAATCATTTCAAACAAGTGGTATTTCAAAATGGCGCAGCAAAGTGAAAATAGGCTGGTATTTATGCAGTAAATTGAGCGACAAATAGGCGACATATGTCGACAATTAAAAAACAATGAAAACTCGATGTACGAGGGTTGATCATAAAGTTCTCATAATATCTCTCTAATTTCTTTATTTTTCAATATTTTTTCCTATGAAATTTTCACAGAATGTGCAGCATGGAATATTTTATTAATCCAGCAAACAATATTTAGAATAACAGAAACATTAAATAAGAAATGGTTGCCATAGTAACTTGAAATCAAGGCATCCGGGGCAAATAAAAAACTAGCTAGAATAACCCCCATTAACCATGTTTAAATACATAATAAGTTGTCAAATAAGGTATCAAACACAGTAAATTGTCAAATAATATGGGCTCTTGACTGTCGTGAACTACTATAATGGTCATGTGAATTGTTTGATCTCATAATGGATGATTGTTATGCTTCATTAGAAGTGACTGTTAGACCCCATGACTGTTTTGTCAAATATCCTGACGAAAATTGATTTTGCCCCTTTAGTTCATTTTTAACATGTACAGACCACACACAGGGTGTAATTTTGTTGATATCTAAGCAATATATTTGTTTTAGATCATGTTTAGTCTGACCAAAGGATCTTACAAACTTAACATAACATTTTATCAGTATGAATTTTATTTTTCTGAAGATCTCTGCATCTATTGCATTCTCTAACTCAGTCATTTCTGATCATTAGCTTTGAGTCTTAGACTCCGGTATCACATCTAATGGAGCATGAAAGCACCCCCTATGACATCACACAATTTACACGATCGATTTATTAAATTCTTAAAGCACTTTACAACATATTCAAGTTAACATTTTAACGTGTTTGGTAATTCATGGGAGTTTATTATGTATTTAAACATGGTTGATTAAGCTCATTCTCTCAGTTATTTTTATTTGCCCCTGGTGCCTTGATTTCCTGTTACTATGGCAACCATTTCTTATTTAATATTTCTGTTAAACTAAATATTTTTTCCTGAATTAATTAGACATTCCATGCTGCACATTCTGTGAAAATTTCAATAGAATATATTGAAAAATAAAGAAATTAGAGAGATATTATGAGAACTTTATGATCAACCCTCGTATATCAAATTCCCGGGATAGTTGTAGTCTTCCATACAACCTAATGCGTCTCGCAAATAAAAATGCCAATATAAATGATAAATGTGACATACAGTAACAGAAAAATAGGGTTTGGGATTTATATCAATCAGTCGGTAAGTGGAACATACACGAATATACGTCGAATATACAGATTGTAACGCTGGTTTTTACTGGCTGCCAGCTATAATTTTTAACGGCGTAAAAAATCAATTTTGACGCCGTACAAAATAATTTTTAACGGCGTAAAAAATCAGTTTTGACGCCGTTCAAAATGCTTTTAACGTCGTATATAATCATTTTTGACTCCGTAAAACTAATTAACGGCGTAAAAATCAATTTTGACGGCGTACAAAATCTTTTTTAACGGCGTTAAATATGGCTGGCCGTCTGGACCAATGTATCGTCATACTTTTAACGCCGTAAAATCTAATTTTAACGCCGTAAAATCTACTTTTCACGCCGTAAAATCTACTTTTCACGCCGTAATAAATACTTTAAACGCCGTAAAGAATTGCTTTTAACGCCGTTAAAAACGATTTTGTACGCCGTCAAAACCGATTTTTAAGCTTTTAAAAATTATTTTTTACGCCGTCAAAACCGATTTTTACGGCGTTAAAAATGATTTTTGACGCCATTCAAAATGAATTTTTTAACGCTGTACATAATTATTTTTGACTTCGTAAAACTAATTAACGGCGTAAAAATCAATTTTGACGGCGTACAAAATCGTTTTCAACGGCGTTAAAAGTAATTCTTTACGGCGTATAAAATCGTTTTACGGCGTTAAAAGTAGATTTTACAGCGTTAAAAGTATGACGATACATTGGTCCAGATGGCCAGATAGTTAAAAGTAATTCTTTACGGCTTATGAAATCGTTTTACGGCGTTAAAAGTATATTTTACGGCGTTAAAAGTATGACGATACATTGGTCCAGATGGCCAGCCATAAGTCGTAAATTTTGATCCCCATATTTGCTCATACTTGCCTGTGCGAGGCCCGTAACAAGGCCCGTAATGGCTCGTCATTTTCGAGTACTGTACTTGCCCGTACGGGGCTTGTAATGAGGCTCGTAATTGCTCTTTATTTTGATGAACACTTTTTGATCGATGAAGTAAAATACAGCATACTTGAGAAATGACATTTCAATTTTATCTTATTATGAATTAATATGTCTTCAATAATTTCAAAATATTCGATAACATGATTCACAGTATAAAAGCTAGGAAACAAAATAAACAGAGAGGTTACCAATAAGAGACACCATATTTCTCTACAAGTGAAGTAATTCAACGCATATAAAAACATTTGCGCGGGACTCGAAATTACGAGACTCGTATATGCTCGTACCACGGGCCTCGAAAACAACAATTACGAGCATTGTACGAGCTCGCACGGGCCTCGAAAACGAGCTTCGTAGGATGGTGCTCCTTTTAGCCCGTAAAGACTCGTAATTCTCGAGGCTCGTACGAGGGACATTTGGGAATTTCCTTTTTTAATTTGTTTCACCCTTGCTTATTTAACATCATGAAACGTGCAAAATACAAGGATTGCACCTCATACTTCTAAATTCATTTACGATGTGAACAATTTATTTCAAGAGCTATTTTTAAAAGAAATAAGGGTTTGTAACAAATTTTCACGTTATTCTGAATTTATTTCAATTTTGCTGTTTATAGGATTAAAATGGCCATTGGGCCGGTTTAATAAAAAATAACATCAGCATATTTCTCCGTTTTCTGTGTGTGAGCCATTACTTTCACAATTGCAATTTCAGTCCAATGTCATCCATGTTAAGGCGCATGAGTGGTAGTTGCACTAGGGACTGCCTTGGGTTCAAACAACAGTGTGAACGTCGTCAGATGCAAATTATCCATTGCAAATAGCATCCTGTTATTCGGTTCATAACTTAGTTGAACCATATTTTTGTACACGGCAGGGATTGCGATTTTAGTCATAAAACTCGCACCTCTCCCACCATCAGCTGAAAAATATATATTCTTCAACAATGATGTCATGTTAACTATAATTTCAATATAGAATCAGACATTTTTTCTGAAAACTTAAAACAAAAATCTTAATAAAGGAATGTACTTATTAATAATGAATTTATTGAAGTTTTTATGAAGTGAGACTGAGAATTTATTTTCAAATAGACGTATCAGTCATAAGCCAAGGAGGATTGGCTCCTAGGGTCAAACTCTATATTGTGCCATATATGGTCATGTCGTGATTACAAAATTCGAATACAAACAGCCGCTATTTTGTTCACTTCAGAATTTGAATCGCGAATTTTGGTCTTATTTCCAAAACAAAATGCCATAAACGTACACAACAAGTGATTGAGATATTGGCGTATCTTTTGGACTGTTGATTATAAATCGAAAGTCAGTTTAAAGTCAGCTCATTACGTCTGGTACGGATTTATATTTCGAAAGTATGGGGTGTAGGCTAGGATTAATGGACTCTACTATAGCGGATCCCGATACTCCGTAGTGACCAAAACTATTCATTAAAGATTACTTTTCCGGTCAATGAGTTATATTTTTGACTGGCCTTGAAAGCAGAATGGTCTAATAACATAGAAAAAGTGGAGAGAAACAGAACATTTTAATTTGTTTAAATCAGTGCAAAAAGAGTATTTTTTCTGAAATACTGAAACAAGAATTTTTCCAGGGAATTCGATTTTTTCATAGCCTATTAGTGTTTTTATGCTTATTGATGAAAGAAAGTTCTACCTCTTGTATCGAATGCATACTGGCTTCTACTTGGTACTGGGGTGTTCGAGGAATCCATGGTGTACATAACGCCGCACACAAAGTACAAATTACTGATGCTACTCTTAGCAGCGTGAGTGCTCCAATGACGTATTTCTGTCAGATCAATCGGGTTGAGTTGTTTGATTTGGATGTAGGATGTTCCTGAAATTACATGTTAAACAATTTCAGTTTTAGTATTTCCGATTTCGGGAAAAGACCAATCCAGTTAATCTACTATATAATGTCACTTGTTTGTCATCCAATTCGATGACTTATAGTACAGCGTTCCAATGATTGTTAAGGCAATTTTTCTACGACGTTGGAGAAAGTCATAGGCACTATATATTTGTTTTATTATTTACTCCATGTACTCTGTAAACAAAGAACAAAATCAGAAGTCTTAATTGCAACATTCAATGCGTACAGGTTCTTATTGGCATTTAAGGCATTTTGCCATTCAACAGTCCTATAAATCACAGCTGGCAGGGATGATAAAATGTACTAATGACTGGTCACATGACTTCACTGGTGATTAGTACATTTCATCTAACCCGTTCCCAGGGATATAGGACTTTCCAGGGATTAATTAGTTCATCTACATTGCATATGATGTGATCATGAATAAGCCAATGAGCATCTAGAATACATATGGGCTTATTTGCAAAAATTCAAAAACGTCTTAACATATTACAGGATTTGATAATACGAGTACTTGCTTTTTGGATCTGCAAATTTTCGTTCAGAGTAGTGCCATTGTCCTGTACGCCAGTAGTACTTGTGCCATCTATATGTGCATGGCGAGGTAAGAGGATGATTCCCAGAATAACGTAGTTTGAGATTACATTGCTTGAGGTGGACACTCCAGTCAAGGGACATACACCTAAATCCTCCCTCATTCACACATTTCTGTTTACATTCCTCCAGAGTTGATGCTGATGTAGCTGTTAAGGTTTCAGCATTTATGCATGTGTTTGGCATGTCTTTCCATGTCCAGTCTGAATGTTAACAATGACATAATGTAAGACAAACTTGGTTACACATGATATAATAGGGATAAACAAATTATCTTTATGTAAGCGCAACGAGATAGTAAGTAAGATATTTAACAACATTAAGAAAAGGAAAGGGAACCTTAAAAAAACCAAAATGTCCAAGAGTAAGCAACATCAAATAACAAGTACGAGATAACCTACATTCACAAAGGCAGAGTGTCAAATGATGATCTTATTCCAAGCTTATTCTCAAATCTATCGTTCTTTAATTCTAATTCGATTATTTTTCTACTTTGAATCACAATCAGTCATTTGGGGTAAGGGCGATTTCCTCGGTGTAAAACAAAGGATCTTTAATCAACGTCAACTAACATAAAGCCTAATGGAGGAGGTCACATAAACTGTAACAACTGTAACACTTTATTTTACATGTTGTTTGGACAAGTTGCCCTCCAGATCACGTCTGAAGTCATTAATTCTGTAGTAAAGTGTCACCTTTCTGGATATAGGCAATGAAGAGTCCATATTCATCTATGTTGAAGTCCACATAAGTGTATCCACCACGGTTATAGTTTGGCACAGCCTCTACCTCGGGAATTGGCACCTGAAAGAAAAGGTTAGTTTTAAGATGGAAAAAGTAAGCCAACTACAACCCAAGGTTTAGTTTGAAACCAAATACAGTATTAGATGTTTAAGATTTGAATAACAGATATTAAATATAGATTAATTTAAATACAATTCAATATGCTGTACCGAAAGGCTCGGTCATAGAGCCCCTCTTATTAATAATATTTATACACAAATATCAAATAAACTAAACCTTTTGATGATAACAGGTCTGTACATGCAAAATATTTAAAATCTAGTCCTTAAATGTTTTCGTTTGGATGAATGTATTTGGCTGATTTAACACTAAATGTGGGAAAATTTTTGATTAAAAGGCAGAATCAGATCTATAGGGCGGTTGACAAAATTACAAGCAATATGTAACATTGACATACAAATCTATTCATTACAATCTCAAATACAATATCTCCCAAAAGATTCACGATATGTAATTATAAATAGGTGAAGTGATTATTAAGGATTCAAGGTGCAAAAATGGGTGAAAAATGTTTAAATTCTCCCAAATAATAAGAATGGTAAACATTTTTATAGAAAAATGATACATTATTGTAAACATCTTTAGTTTTCCTGAAATAAAGTGTGCACTTTGGGGATTTTTAGCAAATAGACAAAAAAGGAATGACAAAAGCCAGGAAGATTCTAAAATTGAATTTTTTTTGTTTGGCTGCTCGCTAGATCTGATTCTCTCTTTAATAAATGCCATTTCAAATAACAAAATTACTGATCAATCAATAAATCCTTGTTTGTAAAAATACTCAATTTCTTGTGTTGTTGAAATTGTCACTTCCCAGCAATGTTATCTCCAATTTAATAGACGCGCTATATATGACTAGATATAGACTGATTTTGCATACTGCATACTGATTTTAATGCATACAACTCCCAAGTTAAACGTTTAAAAAATATGTGGTAAAAAAGCAGTTTTGACCCACATTGGAGGTTCGTTTTCATGTAGACTACTTTTTTAATCCAATTTAGACAACAGAAGCAAAATCTTAATTACCGATGCTTTTGGTGACCATGTTCTATAGTCAACTCTTTCAATGGTCTTTTGACTTGAATAGTAGTAGAGGGATCCATTGAACAATGCATGGTTTGTCCCGTACATGTGTCTGAAACAGGAAAAACAAAACTAAGCTGTACATATCCTCAGATCATTTTCATGTGTTCAAAAATTCTGATATTTATCAATTCCGAATCAATGTTAATTCATACATGGCTGAACTTACTAGCATCTCATTTACACAACCACTAAACTTAATTATGTGGATATATCATGCAATACACATTGCCATGTCCAAATTAAATCAAAATCATACTTGGCTGTGTGACCAAGGGAAGTCTTTAAAGCATGGGTTCATATTACATAGTATTACATACCTAGCGAAGCATTTGTATGGAGGTCAATGGAGCTGAAGGTCGGGTATATATTCCTGTATAACCGCCAAACATTTTTACCATGACGATTTATGACGTCATAACATGTAAACAAAGTGATTTCGACTGGAATCGTGTAAAGTTTTGTTTTTTTCATGCAATTCTCCATATTATCTTCATGAAATGTTATGTTATTCTTTAGGTATGCAATACAACAATTATGTCCGTATCATTGAATATTCGGTCCGTCGTCAATATAACCCTCACAAGCTCGGGCTATATTGATAACAGACCTCAGGCATATATTCAATGATAGGGGCATAACTGCTAATAATTATGGATATGCATTACTAATTTGTATGTAGTACTATGCATTTATATAATACCATTTGCAAATGCACTCTGTGTATGAATATTCAAAATAATACTTGGCTGTCTGGCCGAGGCTAGTCTTTGAGGCACGGGTCCACATAGAATGATAGTTGTTCCACTTGTACATGTATAGATTACCACTATTTCCTGCCACATAATAGATGGCAGTGCGATTCTCTGGAGAGTCGGATATTGGGTCTTTCATCCACCATCCCACACTAGACTCAATGGAGTGTGTCATTGGCCAGCCAACGCCTGTGAAGGTGTTACGTTCACAGAAGCCTGAAAATACAAAAGATAGTCATTTGTCAATTCTATCACGTACTTATCTAAAGCCTAAATGTATGATAAGACTCTTTATATCCTTCACTTATAGAGCTGTGCTCTTCTTTACATCGTTTGAAAAGATAGCATTTTAGTTTATGTGCTTAGTGCTATATACATGTAAATGTAAACAACATTTCTGGGTCAATGTGGTATGGAACCAAAGAGAAAATAAAGTTAGCATGTTATCGTGTATGTATTATTTATCAATATATAAATCGTCCCATTATTTCCACATTGTTGCAATTGCATTTCCGCTGATATTGAAAAATCAGAGGTTGAAGTTTAGGTCTTCATAACTTTTGAGTGGTAATTTTTAAAAACTTATTTTTTCGTATAGGTAATCATGTATATATGTAGGCCTTGCAGAGCAAAAATCACTGATTAACAATGAATAAAACAAAAGTTCAATTTTACACCATATTACGAGTCAATAAGTCCCCCCTTGGACATGTTAACAGCCGCAATTATTTTCAAATATGACCTTAAAAGCCCTTCAAATAAGGGTGTGGAATTTTATAACCCTCTTAAAGGGTTCCGATAAGCATCCCGTATAAAAACAATATGGCGGCTCCAGGCGAATCGACTGGATCAGTCCATTTTTAAGAAATAAGGGGAGTTCTGTAAAATCCAGTTTAATGAAATTGTCTTTGAGATAAAGTAATCCGTTTATAATGATTTTGAAAACATCCATAGAGTGATTGCGTTCAAAGAATATGTACAACAGCCAATATAAATCCTTGTATTAGAACTGCTTTGTTTCATTTGTAGGATATTTCATATACCAAGCTGTGTGTTATTACGTGATGGGGAAATTTAGATGTCAATTTTTCCTTATTATACACAAATAGAAGATCCTGAAACTTCACCCATAAATGTGGAAGTGATTTGTCAAAATAAAAATCACCGTTTTATAAATATGTGACGATCTATAATATACTTATGCTATATAACAGTTAGAGGTGTTGACACAACGACATCGAGCCTGTGAACCCTTGAGTATTATTCCGGGATCGGGCCTTTTATACTAAACGGTGAGCAACACCAGAAACGAGCGTTCGATTTGCTAAACGATATGCGTCACCCTTGCACTTTAGAGGAGTTTCCTTTGAGTTTCTACCCTCACCGTTCTCTTTTTCCAACTCATTATCCATCCGACCCGAAAATAATTTGCTGCTGTTAAGATGGCCCAGGAGGACACATTGACTAGTGATTTGGTGTAAAATTGAACTTAATTTTGACCAAACACTAAATTTTGAAATGCCTGTAATTTTTTCACATTTGAGAGTTCACCATGATACTTGGTGAATCAATGTAACTTTGGATAAGCTTTAAAATGATATATGAAACATACTATGACGACACTGGTATATGTCTGCCTAGGGGGGGGGGCATACTTTCGGGACACCCTGTATACCTTTAATCACATTCATATTTTTAGGGATTATGTATCTATATATAGTTAGTTGCTATGACAAGTTTGATCATGATTGGTCAAGTGGGTGCCATAACAACACAACTTAACTGCGAAATATTGTAAATATTTTTGATAATCCACCACATCTTTAAAAGGCACATGACAAGGGTAAAAAAGACTATGGGTCAGTAATTGATTACAGGCCCGTAGCCAGGGGGGGGGGGTTTGCAGGGTTCGGGAGAACCCCCCCCCCCCCCCTGGCCAAAAATTATTTCAAATTCATGCAGTTTTTGACCATTTTGAGGACTTCTCTAGTGATTTTAGCCTAATTTGGGCCACAATTGTCAAATGTGAACCCCCCCCCTTGGCAAATCCTGGCTACGGGCCTGGATTAAGTTCACTGAATGAACTTTTTTGTTACAAATAATGTCAAATCTGCTTTCTTTTGTTTGTACTATATGTATGGTGTCATGCTTTATGATCTCCTTTGTTAATTACCTGCAAAGTATACTAGTAAGAGATCATCCAATTATTTCCACATTGTTATAAATATTAGTCACATGGTCCAAATTATGTATCTGATTGGCTCTGCTGCCTACCCAAACGGATATGACAAGATGGGCCTAAATTTTTTCTCATTTTGCGCTTATAACAATGTGGCACTGGATATCACCAAAAGGAGATGAGATCCATTAAAATGGACCTCAGAAATGAATTCCTCGTGAAAAAAAATGAGAAAGATAGTATACTTATCTCCAAACCTGTAAAAAGTGAGTTATAACAATGTGGAAATAATGGGACGAAATGTTGAGACAGCTTTGAATATTGATGGCTTCTTATATTAACAACATCAACGCAGTAATAATTATACATACTTTGATCCAAATCTCTAATAGGTCTTGAATCTGCTGGGAAATATGATGCCCCTATTTCATCAATGCTCTCGCCACCTATGGCACAGCCAGCTACCTTGGTCTCCAGGTCTGCAATCTAAGAGAAACAAAGAGTAAATCAATACTATGAGACTATTGTATAGAACTGCCAACTGCCCGGGTCTCCAAGTCTAACTCTGAAAACTATAAAATGTACTTACATGTCTCTGATTGGACTTTACAACAGATAGATAAGTATACATTGGTCTCCAGGCTGGAATTCTAGGAGAAACAAAGAGTCCATTGCTTAATTGCTTACTTGGTTCACTAAAGTTTTGTGAATGTAAACACTGTTGAGTTCCATGCGTTCATCCACCTCTTCTGAAGCGATCCACATATCCGCCGTCATCTGGTTCACTAGGGCCTCCGCTGTCTTGTTAACATCAAGATTTTCCACAATGAATGTGATTAGTTGAAGTTTTTCTTTGATTTCCTCTAAAGACTACAAGAAAAAAATAAATCTAATATTTTTGTGTTTTACTGGAACACTATTTTGAGGTTCCAAGTTGCAACTAGATTTTTTTTTATTCGTTTGGATATACATAGCACGTGTTCAAGTAAGCTTGCCAAATTTTATGCTGTCCATATTTAAACTTGCTTATACTTGTTATCAATACAATAGTATATACATTCTTGCCTATTTTCAAAATGGCTGCCATTTTTGTCGTTCATAATTTTTCAGCAGTTACTAGCTGTATGAATAATTACAGGTGTCCTGCATTGTAAAATCCTATGTCACTGTTAACATTAGTCTTATGAGTTGATTTTGTAAAACAAGATTGTCAAAAATGCATATATCTGCTCCCTTTTGGATTTTCTAGCATAAAATCTTGTCTGTAAAGTCTCTACTACACGTTTTGAGCCAACTGGTTTCATGGATCAATCTAAAACATCCAGGGATGTTTTTTCGGTGTAAAAGTCTACAAGTGGGTTGTCTTTGGACATTCTGGATTTTCTAGTATATGTAGTTATTTTGGACTTTTTATCCAGAAAACTAGTAAAACAACACCATGTGAGTCCAGTACCATTGATACGTTTTATATTATGATGTTATTGTATATTTTTAATCATTTGTTGATTGTCCCTAATACTTTTTAATGTTATTTCTATTTCTCCTAATCCACATTACTTTCGTTTTTTCACATTAAGTCACAGTCCAGATGTAAGGAGAAATTTGTTTGCATCATCCAGGAGCGTAGTCGGGGCGGGGGTGCGATCGCCAAAGAAAATTCGGTTTTCAGTCAAGGGGTGTCAAAAGATGCGAATTCCTTCAAAAAGATTTAAATAAAAAACATTTTAAAGCTCTTTTCTTCTTCTATCTCATGGTTTTGGTTTTATTTTTATTGGCTGATGGCACCCATCGTACCTCTCCGCCCCCCCCCCCCCCCCCGGCTACGCTTATGTCATCAGAAGTATGCTTTAACGATTGTAAATTTTTATTTCTGTTGATAGGATGAAAATCAATGATTTTAATGGACAGTCCTGCCTCAAACCTTGATCCAAATTCAGAAATATTTGAGTATAACTGAGTATCCATCCATCTTTGAAATTCAGGACCAAAATTGATTTTATCTATGACTATGGATATACTTTTTCAACATTTTTTTATATAACAGTTTGTAATTGCCCCTATTTTATGATCACAGCTATTCGATAATATAATATTGTATGGTTAGGTCAAGAGACACAATACTTTTTCTTCCTTAACAAGTCTGGTTGACTCATTGAGTTACATGTTTATCAGCTTGGTCTCGTGTAAACTGGACTGCATTAATTATATGAAGTATAAGTATATAAAAAGTAATCCATGTACCTCGTAATTAATATTCATAGATTGGCTGAGGTAATTCAGTTCTAAATGTTCAATAAGTGTCTCAAGGCTAATCAACTCATCGCCAGCTGTATTCGCTGCGAGTCCCTCTGCCTTAGCCACAATTGATAAAATTGTAGCTTCAAGATCGAACAACTCTGTGGAAATAAAAAAAACACAGTTATAAACTGAGGACAGGTGACTAGTATATAGAATATTTTAGGGATGAAATATGGATATTTATATATAATTACCCGAGGGGAAATATAATATTCTCCGAGGCCAATATCATATATTCTCCATATCATATTCCATCAAGACCATCAATAACTTATTTATTTCAAAATATCTTTGCTGAAACATATTTGTTTTAAAGTTTTGTATCGACAATCGCGATCCGTTTGATGGTTTAAATTAGGGAAGGAGGATACCTATCCATTTTAATAATCAAAGATTCGAGAAAATAAATGTGGATGAATATTTGAAAGAACGTGAACATCCGACCACAGCCAAGAAATCAAAGAAATTATTCTAAAAGAATGCCTACGGTTGGTTGGAAATTTTCTGAACTCGGGTGAATAATTGAACAATATGAACCAGATGACCAAAATTGGTATGGGATAACTAGATCATCCCATAGTCGGTTCAGAAACGGGATATCGGCTTATACGGGATCAGATACGGGATTTTTTGAATTTGAATTCCATTTTTGTTTATTTCCCAGGAAAACATGTTATTATGGAATAATATTCAAAGGTTTAAGGTCAGTAAATATGCTATTTACCTATGTAATCTCTCTCAATGTAGCATATCGCTTCCTCTGTTATATCAGGTCCACGAATGCTGCATGTGCAGTGATCATCAGTTTCATTTGCGTGGACATTGTTTTCCTCTGGATCTAGTGTATTTGTTGGTGGAGAAATTGATGTTGGTGCTTCTGTGGTTGGGGGTGTTCGTGTGGATAGTATCTTGGTAGTTGGTGCCTCGGTGGTTGGGATAGATGGTGGAGCGGTTTGTGGCGAAGTGGTTGGTACCTTAGTGGTAGGGGGTGGTGAAGGTGGAGTAGTTGGTCTCTTGGTTGAGGGTGGCAATGAGCCACCAATAGGAGTGCTGAGAGACTTGGTGGTTGGGGGTGGTGCCGTTTGTAGGGTGATGGTAGGGGGCAGTGGCGCGGGAGTAGTTGTCGTATTGGTTGAGAGTGGCATTGAACCACCAATAGGAGTAGTGACAATCCTAGTGGTTGGGGGAAGCGTCGTTTGTGGGGTGATGGTAGGGGGCAGTGGCGCGGGAGTAGTTGGTATCTTGGTTGAGGGTGGCAATGAACCACCAATGGGAGTACTGACAGTCCTAGTGGTTGGGGGTGGCGTCGTTTGTGGGGTGATGGTAGGGGGCAGTGGCGCGGGAGTAGTTGGTGTTTTGGTGGTTGAGGGTGGCATTGAACCACTAATGGGAGTACTGAGAGACTTGGTGGTTGGGGGTGATGCCGTTTGTGGGATGGTGGTAGGGGGCAGTGGCACGGGAGTAGTTGATGTTTTGGTGGTTGAGAGTGGCAATGAACCACCAATGGGAGTACTGGGAGACTTGGTGGTTGGGGGTGATGCCGTTTGTTGGATGGTGGTAGGGGGCAGTGGCACGGGAGTAGTTGCTGTTTTGGTGGTTGAGAGTGGCAATGAACCACCAATGTGAGTACTGGGAGACTTGGTGGTTGGGGGTGATGCCGTTTGTGGGATGGTGGTAGGGGGCAGTGGCGCAGGAGTAGTTGGTGTCTTGGTTGAGGGTGGCATTGAACCACCAAGAGAAGTACTGAGAGACTCGGTGCTTGGGGGTGATGTCGTTTGTGCGTTGGTTGTAGAGGGTTGTGTCGGTGTAGTAGTTGATGTCCTGGTGGTTGAGGGTAGTGCCCCAGGTTGTGGGGTGTTGGTACCGGATGGAGCCGATGTCTGTCTCTTTACTCTTATAGAATCCTGAGCAAATGAATGATTATATAAAACACTTTTGACTTTTGAACCATATCAGATTAAACGCGCTAACGTGTACTTCAGGGCCATTACCAGGTACGGTTCACTCATTTATATCAATCTCTTGACTACCTGGAATGACGAGATTTCAAGATTTCTCGTCACCTCAGAAATGACCTTGAAACCCAGAGTGACGAGAAAATCCGTCACAAAATTGTTCACTAAAATTGATCTTATTTGAACAATTTACATCCAATTTACACGAAAATTGTTTTAAAATGTGTAGAAATGATCTCTGCCATCTAATTTTACTCAGTTGAGCATCTAAAATTGTATAAGTATGTAGTAAAATGTCAAAAGGTTGCAAAAATGAAAAATTCTCTGCCGATTTTAGAGCCTGGAATTCAAGAGGTTGATTAGACTTTATTATTCATTTAATTGAACACATTACCTTGATTAAGAACAGCCTATACCTTCAGTAGATGAAACGCCTATGAAAAATACTATTCTAATATTACAGTTGCAATTTATTGTAAGTTATATTGGCAACCGGTATACGGACAACTTACCTAGGCTATTGCGCATGTCATTGAGGTTATAGTTTAACTGATATAACTCACCCCTGCTGCCATATAGGCTACAGATACAGCTATCAACAGGAACACAAACTTCATTTTTTCGTCCTTATTGTACTGTTGATTTCTAGTGCGCAATATTATAAATCCTCCATCACAATCCTCCTATTTTATATAATATCCCGGGTAATTTATTTCTTTTTCATTCTTGTTTTTATTAAGATTAGTAAAATATGCTTCTTAATTACGATTTCAATCAAGTCAATTATGATTCACAAAGTTTTTATTTTTTTTAAATATGATGCCATGTGTTTTTAATATTGATCCATGCCAGCGCAAAACAGTTATTTAATTTTGTTTTGTTAAGATTATGAAACCATTTGACATATTAGCCAAAGCCAATCGCCAAAGTACATTTTTTATACGACTTTCACACATAGCTAGGCAAGGTATGTCCGATTCCGGCCAATCAGAGCAGAATATTCACATGATGAACAGTGTGTGAAATATCAATAACCCATGCAAGGTCACTAGTTAAACAGTTGTCATGTTGATGAATGGACTTTTCACGTTGGATTTGATGACTTGCCAACTTGACCTTTGCAAAAAGATTCATTGAAAATATGTTCTTTAGTGATTTCGTTCCTTTGGGATGATTTTGTAGAAAAAATTGCAATGTGTGAAAAGAATTTAAGCCCAAGACTAAATGTCGGAACGTCAACTTTTTGGATTTAGACACTTCGTGCTAATTCAACAAAAACAATGTTCGTATAATTGCATTTACATCTAATATATTCCAATTATGACCAGTTTGCATTTAAGTTATAAATGAATTATTCTTAATAATGTTTCGTTACATTATCTTTAAACATCAAATTAAATATTTAAGGAAAACAATACCATATCATTGCAAATATTTATCGATGTGTCAAGCCACGAAACAATAAAAATGTATTAGACCAAATTAATTATACACTGGTGTTACTAATGATTACACACATGTACAGGGTGACACAAAAAGTGCCACCCACATCATGTTAAATAACTTTTTCGTCTATATGATTCCTGGCTTTATTTTTTTAAAAAGTAAAACTTAACTTCATGGAGCAACTCCACAGGAAGTTTGAGATGACTAGCTGAACTGGATACACTTTCATGAGCGTTTTAAGATTTCCTCTAAATGTCAGACACACCTGGATTCTATGGATAAAATTATTGACAACCCTGACTAATTCCCCAACAGATCTTTCTTGCGATCTCTACCTTCAGGTGTTCTATGGTTTGGGGGTTTGTTACATACAAATGATCCTTCAAGGGACCCCAGAGATAGAAATGCGGGTTTATTTCAGGCGAATCTGGTCAATAACTTTTGAATAGAATCCAGAAGTGTGCCTGCAATGGCATGGACGACATTTAGATCACATCTTGTAACCATCATAAAAGTCCCCACAATTGATCTTGTCATCTGAAACTTCCTGTAGAGTTGCCACATGAAGTCTAGTTTGAATGTACAACAGATGAAGTCAGGAATCATATAGACAAAAAAGTTACTCAACTTGAGGTGGGTGGCAGTTTTGTGTCACCCTGTATGTGACCAAATGCAATTAATATTTATTCATTTCATTTATAGATGTCACTTGTTATTGCGCTTCCTAGTCAACTCGTACCCAAGACAACTCGTACCCAAGACAACTGGTACCCAAGACAACTCGTACCCAAGATTATTTTCAGTATAATGGGTGTACATTGGGGAAAAAATTGAGTTTGTAATGCTTTCAGGTTGTAATGTGAATCAAACAAGCCTCAATATTTTTTTGAATTTAGACGACATTTTTTCTCAATGGATCAGTAAAGCATTTTTTTATTAAATAAAAGAAGTGCTTGAAGCGCTTGTTCACAACATTTTTTTGTCAAACATATATACAAATAAATATAATTACAACATTAGATCTGACACTTGTTCCAAACACTCATAAACATACAATATTTTGAAAAATGATTATGAATATGTGGAATAAACATATGTCTCTTCACTCAACATCCTGAATCTGTGACCAATATAAAATAATAGTCAATATAAATTGACACTCAGCTCAAAATGTCACAAAATTAAATCAATTTCTTCCGAAAATTCTTCTTCAAACTTTAAACTATTCTGAACAGTATGTTACAATTATAATATGTATATCTATTCACATTCCCAGTCCAAAATATATACTTGGGTACGAGTTGTCTTGGGTACCAGTTGTCTTGGGTACGACTTGTCTTGGGTACGAGTTGACCAGTTACCGTTATTGCTATATCTAATTAAGCAATTAGTTAATGGAAACACAAAACGAAATCATGTCATGTTATATACATGCAGGTAGCAATATAGATCTTCCACTTGCTTTCATTCACAACATATTTTCGTTCTCAAAAACATTTACTACAATCGTTCGACTTGACAAGTCATCAACTCTTTATTTTACTTTTATATATTTCATAACACCTTAATTAATTAAAACACATATTTGTTGAATTGTTATCTGGTATTCTATCACCTCGACAACTTAGAAATGTCACGGGATTTATATTCTTCAGGCAAAATGTTAGACCCATTGGCAGCTCTAACATTATTCCTAAAGCTCCAAGCAAGAGCCAGTTCTGTAAGTTACACGTATATGTCAAGTATACAAGTAGTCAAGTGTTAAGATATTAAAGTTCTAAGTCAAATTAAATTGCTTTGCCTTGCAATTGCCATATTGTACTGCATTCGCATATGCCAATTCGATATTGTACTTTACTATCTATTTACCTTGACCATGCCATATTGTACTCCATTAGTATATGCCGATTCGATATTGTACTTTACTATCTATTTACCTTGACCATGCCATATTGTACTGCATTCGCATATGCCAATTCGATATTGTACTTTACTATCTATTTATCTTGCAATTGCCACATTGTACTGCATTCGCATATCACTCAAGCCACATATTCCTTTCATTATAACGAATTTTATGTTACATTACTATATGTTTTTATTCCGCTATTTAATATACGCTCCACCATGAGTCTTTGGTATCAAATTAAACGTCTCTTAATCTTGCAAAATGCCATTTAGTTTTTATCTCAGGGTTATAAAAGCTGAACGCGTTATCAATCGTCGAACATTCCAAACTATCATTTTTTGCCTTGTAACCGATCACCCTTATGTTGATTGACAGTATCTTTTTTATATTCTGAAACGTATTTTGTTATTATAATTGACTATTTCATCACAAAGACTGCATCGTGTCGATTGTACGTTAGCTGGAATTAATTTATTTGCTAATTTACTATTGGAAAATCGACATTAAGTATGTGTAACCCTCGAAGGCACCATCATCGACACCATGCTTGAAATCAACGGTGTCGAGAAGCCTCCGCACTATTCATGATAAAGCCCCATTTACTTCTTTGAAATATAAATTGCCTTATTAACGGATGTAAAACATTTTCACAATACATTTGAATTTAACATATTTAGCTTGTTACGTTTTTTTCGACGTAAAGTACTATTTTTCAAAATCATCATCGACTCCACAAGTACGTTGTCTTTGCACTCTGCATTCAATCATAATCAGGTTTCGATGTTAAGTAATGGTGTTGACGGTTTGTCTCAATGTATTTTGATAATATAAACATACGCTTTATTGATGTTATTCTTTGACCACGTAAAGATTGAGATATTTACGACCATCAACGACTCCACCACATACGACTCCAAAATACTATCCACATATTACGTACGTCACATGCATAATCGAACACTATATATTTGTTGAATGAACTTACATTCATTAAATGACTATTTTGTTGTATGTGTAGCATTTTACAGTGATACCGAGCTAAGGATTTAGAGCATATTGTTCATTGTGATTACAACGTATAGTGATAAGTAAAATTGAATCTATTAAGCAGATCATGTTATTTACTTATGATGCATATTCTGTTTGTCTTGAAATGCTAAGGTAATGTGACACAAGAATTTGGATGATTGAGCAGTTCATAGTTTTATAAAATCACTGACAAATATAGATGCACATTCCCCGATATTTCTTAATTTATAAACGTTTCGTTCAGTGTACCACTAGACGAAATGTATTTCTTGCCATTATTGTAAAACAATAAATATTTCATTGTGATAATCAGTTTTGTGACATTTTATTAATGTGCATAACTTCCCACACTCTCATTAGTATATCTGTCTTACTTATCTGACCTTTCTGATGATATAAGAATATGGCACTCGCCAACGCCGAGAAATCCCGTCGTTCCCTACAGACTACAGTACAGGGAGAGAAAGAAAAAGAAAGATACCAAAGGCTACTTAGAGCAAGAACGATTGCGACAGCGAGCAGCATCGTGTACACCGAGAAATAACCTGTCTATTGAAGCTCTTCAACAGATCAGAGAAAAGAACAACAAGGCATCCCGGGAATACAGGGCACGCATACTCCAAGTGTATAGAGAAACAATCAAAACACGCCAGACTGAAGGGAACTCTCAGAGTCTAAAAAATCCAAGAAATCCCAGAACGCATTATTAAAACATTGAAGATAAGGCGACTGGACTTAAACCAGTACCAGGTACCTTTCGAATCAATGCTGTGAGAGGGGTTTCCGATAATATTGTTGAAACGCGAGAATTATCATGCTATTGTGACGCATGCAGAACAGATACGTCATTCTCACCCTGTGGTTGGCAAAGGAACAACCTTATTACCGTTAGGAAGACCCAGCAGGCAGCTAAGCTGGTCACCGAGCTACCATCTTTAAAACCAAAACGGACCACACGACGAGCACACCCGACACCCAGTACGTCAAGTACGTAAAGCATCGACGCCCTCCGACGTTTCCACTCTTTCAACCACATTGAAGCATTGGCCTTTAGTCCCCCTTCTACAAGTTCAAAGTCTTCAGACACAATTGTTTCCGCGAAGAAAAGGAGAGACCCGATAAAAAGAACAGACACTGTAATATTTGCAAGGCATGCGGTGTCAACTATTATTCGTATTTACAATCGCAGTTCGAATGGATCAAGTGCTCTAAATGCCACGACTGGTTTCATGATTCCGGGAAATGTTCTCGTGTAAAGGGGAT